CTTGCCAGCCCACGGAGTAAGAAAGCACCTTCCCTTGGGAAGGAGGCTTGCTGGCAGAGTGGGGTGCCCTTAGTTGTCCCTATAGGCAGAGCTAACACTTACGCAAGCTGGGCAGAGGCCAGGCCGGGAGACCAAGGGCCAGAGACGTATGCCTGAGGGCACAGCAGAGGGGAGACTCTCCTGATCAAAGAACTATATCCTGAGAGCATTTCTGAACCTGAACTGTAATCTGTTACTCCCCTAATAAACCCCACAATCATGAGTACTGCCTGTGAGTTCTGTGTGACCACTGCAATGAATTATCAAACCCAGCAGAGAAGTAGTGAGTGTCAGGGAGGAACAGTTAGTATCAGAACTGGTTAAAAAAGAGAGAAAAGGCTGGGGGTGGTGGTATATCTGGCCTCATAGGAATATGCCTTGGGCTGCTGATGGTGACTCTGTCTTCCCCTTGTGAAGTCAGAGGTCAGACGAGGATGTCACTTCCATGCCTTTTTGCAAGGTGCCTGGTCTACCTCCCACCCTGATGCCAGGCAGACACAAGCCACCATCCCAGGGTGGTTGGCAGGAAACTTAAGGAGGCAACTGGGGCTGGTCAAGGTATCACCCCTTGTCAGAGGAACCCCACAGGTTACCCTTACCTTCATCCTCTGCATCCTGCTCCTGCTCTGCACTGGCGTAGGTGCGCAGAAACTCGGCGAAGGCCCCGTCCCGGGCCAGCAGCTCCTGGTAGGAGCCCATCTCAGAGATCTTGCCACCACTCATGACGATGATGACATCCACCTGAGGCAGGTAGCTGATGCTGTGTGTGACCAGGATCCGTGTCTACAGGCAAAGTGGAAGCCAGCCATATTGGTATACACATGAGAGAAAGCCTGGCTCACCACAGCAACCCTGATGTCTGCTGACAGAACTGAAGCATGAAGGTGGAGCACATGACTGAGATGGAAGCATGCATGCACACTGGAATCCATGGGGACATTCATTCAATGCATGTGTGCCATGGGGCTATGCACCAGACATGTGCTAGGAGCTGGGGAAGCAATAGGGAACAAAACAAAGACTCTTGTCCCAGACTCCAGGCTGGGGGCAGATAATGATCAATCTAAGTAAAACATAGAGTGCTTCA